TATCCAAGTAGTGAAAATAAAATGCAATAAGAGCATCCCACAGATCTTTGATTCTTTCTAAAAACACATAAAATGTACACCCACCTATGGTCTGGTCTCTTCAAGGGCTTAAGTTTTTTAATGGCAAGGGATTCACAGATTTTGAAAAAATTTTCTCTTTTACTGCAGCTTTTCATATCAAAATAGATGTCATCAAACAAATCTTCTAAGTATCTATCAAAACATGAAGCAAATTTTTTGCACAGTTATTAGCTGTGTGACATGTGTCACCATCAATATCTAATAAGTGGGGTGCTTTGTTTGATCGTAGTCTGGTTTCAACACCCTTTTTTTTTTCCATGCATGGTGTTACACGAGTCATTAATACACTAATTAAGTTTGCCCATGGAATATTATTATCTTCAATAGTATTAACAACTGCTTTAAAAACAGCTTCTGAATTGCAAGATTCCATCTTTAGAGATGCAAAATGATGAACTACAACTTCATTTTGATTGTTGTCATAAAACTGCACCAATATTGCCAGTATACTTTCTTGAGCATTGCTAGTACTTTCATCCAAATTTAGAGAAAATGGAGTCTCCTTTAAAGTTTTAATGATATTTTCCTTAATAGTTTTTGCGAGCCCATATTTCATCTTATAACATGCAGTAGTCCTGGACATTTCCAACGAGTTTAGTGCCGTCTGATCGCGGCTCAACTGTTTGCAGAGTTCAATTAAATTGGGAGCTACATTGAAAGAAAGAGAATTCTCGGCGATAAACGAAGTTATTAATACCTCTTGGCGTGCTTTTCTTGTCACTATATCCAATGGCCGAGCATCAGTCTCCAGTAAGTCATCAGTATTTTTTGAATTAGCATAATTACTTAAAGTCATTGAATGTCTAATGCACTTTGAATATTTTATGTGCGTCACAGTTTTAGAATGATTTGTGAAAGCCTTGAATCCTTCCCCACCATACTTCAGCAGTGAGTTACAAAAAACACAATATGCTTGTCCAGCAACATTTATTTTCTTGCACCATGTGCCGATGGTATCCCCATTACCATCTCTCCGTTCAATCCAATTCCACCTAAATGCATTCCGGACACCTTCTTCTAATTGTATAATATCACTATTTATATCGAGAAATTTCATAGTGAAATTCTCTTGCGTACATAAATAAAAAAATATTTCAATAAACGAAACGAAAAATTTACACGTGCATCAATAAATGAAACGAAAATTTTACACAGCGGAGAAAAAAAAAGTTGAGAAGCGATCAATGACAAATAGCTAATACGGCGAAAAATCCCCCTTCTCTACTTATTGGCGCCACGCCAGGAGAGATAAGACCTTTGAACCCAGAGTCACGTGATCGCAAATCTGGTCGAACGAAGTCTCTCCCTTTTTTTTTCTGCCGCGCCTACTTGCCGAAAAGAATCCAGAAGAGAATGTCCGAGAACCGGGGGAATGAGTCATAACTCGCAATAAGGAAAGAACAAAAAAGAAGTTTTTTCCCCCTTTTCACGCATTATCACTGCCTTTGGAGAAAGAAAGGAAAAGTTTTCACCACACACACTGACCTTGCGTTTTCTGCTTTCAAAGCAAACAAAATTACCCAGATCAAAATAAATAATTCATTATTATTCCTACTTCCTTTTGAACGACGATCCCCGGAAATTCCGGGGTATCGAAGTTCAAAATCATCGGAATTCCGGGGTTTTCCCGGAGCACAAACACCCTGATACTATATTTTATTTCATGCAAATGTAGCTCTTGAGGTTTTGTGTGGTGGGGGCGTCAGAGTAAGTGTCCTTCCTTCAGTAACGCTTGAGGGATTTTAGTGGTGCATTAGTTACGGGCATCGACTTTGCCGGGTCCAGTGAACCCACTGCCCCACATTGACATAATTTGCAGTCCACAAATCCAAATCTATGTAAGTAGGTCTGGAATGGAGAATGCGCTGTAAGAAAAGTCGTGATGGCAGATGAAAACGAAAAGGTTGTACTTGATACCCTAGGGATGAAGCCATGCCTCCATCGTCCAGTACTGGAAGTACATCTCGTTTGCCACTGATTTATAATGATTTATTGCCATTCATATGTTACTTTTCAGGTGAGAGCCTGAGAGAGGTAGTGCGTATTCTGGTAAGAATGCATCCATTGCTGCCTCTTTCGACAACTGAGCAGCTTGTTAAGGGGCAATGCCAGTATGTGCTGAAACCCAGCTCAGTACGGCCAGATCAAGGCATGCTAAGAGCAGTTTCATTCGAGGACAATGAGCCTCTTGCTGTTAGCACCAGCAATTGCCTTTAGGCTAAATAAGGAGTCGCTGTAGATTTGAGCCTGTGTGTTGAAGCGGTGAGTTAAATTAACTGTCTTCTTTATTTCCGTAAGCTCCGCTTGGAAGACGGAATTATTTTTGTCAAGTCGTCTTTGCTATGTGTGCTTTGACATTCGTCTCTTTCTATAATACAAAAGCCGCAGCCTGTACCCGCTTCCGTGCGCGAGCCATCCGTAAAAATTGTGATGCTACTTGTTGGTACTGGCAATGGCGAGACGCTGACGTTGCGTTGTACATCGTGTCTGGAGGAATGACATGGGATCTCAAAGGTTTTAGCCTCAAAATCCGCGTAGCGGAGGTTGGCATTCCACAATTGGCTATCTTGTCTCGTAGAACCTAGTTAGGTGCCTCTCTCTCTGCAATCAAGTCGAGTGGCCTGATGCCGGTCAAAACTTGTAAGGTCGCTGTTTATGTAGTGCGGTACCCTCTGCTTATCTGAAGGAGATGCCGTCTTTGAACAGATGGTAAAATAAGATGGTGTGGGTTTTGAATCTCTCGGTCCATACACCCGAGCTGTAAAGGATAATCCGTTTCGTGCCTGTAAGATACTACCTTTTCAACATTGAGCAGGAAACGCTCCAATTCTTTTCCGTGACTCTCTTCATGTCATAATTTAGTATCTCTGTTTGATTTTTAACATAATCCAGGTGGAGGATCGACGACAATCTTGTGTCTAGGACCAGACCGAGGTATTTAAGCTGGTCTACGATTTTCATGGAGCTTCCCAATAATTCACTGTAGGTTTTCTTGGCTTTCGACGATTTTGTGAGATCTTGCCCAGTTGTTAAAGACGTCTAGCGCTAATTGCGCGGTAGACTCCAGTTTTGATCTGCCATTTACGACTAGCAGGAAATCGTCCGCGTATGCGATGATGTTGCAATTTGGAAAGTTCTTGACTTTTAGGATGGTGTTTGCCAAAATTGTCTAGAGAAGAGGACCCAAGCAGGATCCTTGTGCGCATCTGTTAGATATTAATTACTTTGCTTGCCGATAGATGGCGGTGCCTCTAACCTGACTAGCTAGGCAAGTGCACGGTATTTGAGCTGCGACACCGCCAACTATGTAGCATTAATGTCTCTCTTATGTATAAGTAATCTAATTTAATCTTATAAATAAACAGTAATTGATCTATGTTTGACGAGTCAACTTGTATAACATGGTGTCAGGGTTAACCATGCTCACGAATTTAATATTTTAAGGATTACGTGCATTTGAAAAACTTGGAATAAAAAATGGCGCATAACCTGCCCACGTTGTCACAGTTTGACGCTGGATCGAACCCTTCTGAAGCTTGGAGACACAGGAAGGAAGACTTCGAGGACTATATCGAGGTATTAAGATATAGCCAAGAGTCGGAACAGGAAGGACGGACAGGAAAAGCACTACGCAGCATAGAACAAAAATGGTATTAAGATATAGCCAAGTGTCAGAAAGCACAAAAACTGTGCTTTTTCTACATGTTTGCGGTGACGAATTAAAAAAGCAATATTGATTGTTTGATTTGAAGCCAGAAGCGGGCAGCAGTGAAGTGTCCTTGAAACAAGTGCTACAAGAATTCAACAAATATTTCGCAGATTATCAAAATGAGATTTATGCATCATTCAAGTTTCTGGAAATAAAGCAAGAGAAAGGAGAGAAATTCACGGACTTTTACTCAAGGCTACGATGTGCAATAGTAGATTGCAACTATGGGCAAGCGCAAGATAGAATGCTCCGTGATAAAATAGTGCAAGGCATCTCAGATAAAGCGTTACAAAAACGGCTAATACAAGAGACAAATAGAGCGAAAAAAGACGCTGCAGAATATCATCAGTGAATGCAAGGCAGCGAACATAGCAAAGCACAAGCCACTGAAATGAACGAGAACAAAATCTCCGTAGACGCTCTCAGAAAAAACAAACATCGATCAAATCCCGCACAGATAACGCAAGTAAAAGAGTGCAAGCGATGTGGGAGAAAACATGAGCCAAAAGAAGTGCGCCGCGTTCGGAACGGTCTGCCGAAAGTGCGGTTGGAAAAATCACTGGGCGAAAATGTGTCGTGCCAAACCAAAACAAAGAGGACACGTCGTTGAACGTACGGAAGATAGCGACTCCGAATTTATTTAATTAGGGGAAGTAAAAACTGTTGACGCAGTGATTCAAATAAAGCATCATTCTATATCAAAAGATCGCTGTAAATAAGAACGAAGTGAACTTCAAATTAGATACTGGAGCTCAAGTTAACAAGTTACTGGAGTTACTGGAGCCCAAGAGTAAATTGTTCAAGTGGAGTGAGAAACCAATAATTAAGAAAAATAAACAACCAGGATATATACTGGATTATAGTGACAACCAATATACTGGATTATAGTGACAACCAAGTACCAATGCTAGGTGAGTGCTACCTTACTTGTAAAACTAAAAAAAAGACAAAAACTCTCAAATTTCTGGTAACCACTCTGGAATCATCTCCTATTTTGGGTCTGATTGAAAGAGTGTATCAAGTCAAGTAGGAAAAGAAACCAAATGAAGAGACACCAGAGCAAGTGATACAGGAATTTGCAGATGTTTTTACTGGTGTGGGAAAACTAAATCGCACAGTACGAATAAAAATAAATGTCACACCACATGTTGCAGAACCAAGTAAAGTGCCACTTGCTTTCCACGAAAAAGTAAAGCAGGAGCTAAACAGAATGGTTGAAACTGGCATCATAGCGAAAATTGATGAGCCTACAGAATGGATGAGCAACATGGTTGTGATAAATACGTCAAAGAAATTGAGGATTTGTCTAGATCCAAGGCAGCTTAATGAGGCTCTTCAAATACCTCATTATCAAATTCCTACAGCAGAAGCCCTTATGAAAAAACTCCAAGGATGTAAAATATTTACCATTTTGGACGCCAAGAATGGGTTTTGGCAACTACCGCTTGATAAGGAGTCATTATACTTGACAACATTTACAACGCCTGGGGAAGATTCAGATTTTTGGTACTTCCTTTCGGGCTGAACAATGCACCTGAGGAATTTCAAAGGGCCATGCAGGAGATTTTTAGAAATGAGAACGAGATAAATCCATATTTTGATGATTTAGCCCTAGGATCGTCGTCTGTCGAAGAACATTGCAAGCTGTTGGGGAAGACACTTACGATAGCCAGAAGTGCTAATTTAAATTTAACATCGAGAAGGCACAGTTATCTCGAACCTCTGTGACTTATTTAGGACATGTACTGTCTGATAAAGGCATTGCATCTGATCCAAAGAAGAGCAAAAAGTGCAAACCAAAGGCCGGAATTCAATTTAAATGGACATACTAAAACATCATGTAATTTACTTTGAAGGATTTTGAGAAAAATAGCGAATGATTAGGGATTAAACTCCTGTGCAACTTGTAAATTGTTTGTAATGCGCGCCGTTATCACTAACTGTAACCGAAGGTGATTTCGGCGACACACAGTCACGTCTCGTCGTCGGTGCGGTTGGTCGCTCGCTTTCCTCCAACGTGATTGTCTGTCGACTGTAGTAATTAAGTTTTAATATTGTGATGTGATTAAATGTTTTTGTTATCAAAAATTGGCTCTTATGGCATGTTATGAATTCATCCTTAAAAGCACTGGCAAATTCCAATACGCATAGTTTGTTGTTGCACACAGCCGCAACCACGTGCAACAAATGGTGACTTCAGGACGGTGAGGCTTAAGCCAAATGAATCGTCGAAATTTATAGTACAGCAGAAATTTTGTGCTTAAACAAGACCTTGTAATAATGTGCGAAATGCAGCTGAACCAATATTTTTTACTTATGTGTATTGGATTACTTATCGTGTCTATTGGATCGTGCATCATATTCAGGATTCATTCATATATTACAGCCATGTGGATTACCTTCATCTTCCATTAGTGATAGTGTTCCAACATCAAGCGAGTGGATAATTTCTGTACATCAAGGTGATATTTTCTACCTTTTATTCCGCACATGGATTCGTATGTATTCGTCAAGCGGGTGAGTTTTTTCCTATATTCATTTGAACCCAGGTCCTAACATTAATTATTTTGTGTTTCTTCACGTGTACTGCAACAATATTCTTGAACTATATCGTTTTTTTTTTTTTTTTTTTTTTTGTTATCTGTATTTATTCATATTTATTATGGCTACTAGCGATCCTCTAGCCACTGATGACAAACAAATGGCTCGCGTTGCTGTGAAACCTGCCCCATTTTGCCGTAGTGACCCCAACCTTTGGTTTTTTTCAATTAGATGCACAATTCAAGCTCGGGGGTATAACACGCGACGACACGAAATTTTATACTGCAATTTCCGCCCTCGACACTGAGGTTCTTCAGTCAGTACGCGAGATTGTTCTGAAACCCCCCTCGGATAATAAATACGAGGAATTGAAAAATAAATTAATTTCAGTTTATGAGGAGTCTGAAAACACCAAACTAAAGCAGTTATTACAAGATTTGCAACTTGGTGATATGCGCCCATCCCAGTTATTGTCAAAAATGCAGGAGCTTGCGGGTGACAATTTTAAGTCCAATGTTTTACAATCATTGTGGCTCAATCGTCTCCCGAACAATATCCAAGCTATTCTTGCCTCCAGTAACGAGAACCTACCCCAACTGGCCCAAATGGCAGACAAAATTCATGATGTTCTCCAACCACAAGCAATCAGTCAAGTTCAGCATCCCAGTGTTGATATTTCATCTCTTCAACAACAAATCCAGGAATTATCATTGCAGGTCGCAGCCTTACAGACACGATCTCAGTATCATCCGCGCGGTAGATCAAAGTCCCGGAACCGAAATAATAGGGAATACCAACGCGCTCATTCTGGTACTCAATCAGACATTTGTTTCTATCACAGCCGATTCGGTGATAAAGCGCGCAAGTGTACACCTCCATGCAAATTTCAGAAGACCTCTTTAAACTGAAGGGGCCGTCACTCGAAGCCATGAGTGACAACGGCCCGTGCATTAGTCGATTGTTCGTAACAGATAAACCATCAGGCAGACGTTTTCTTGTTGATACAGGTGCTGACATTTCGGTTGTACCTCCCTCTTTTGCCGAATCCAAACGGCCGCCTGGAAAATTTAACTTATTTGCAGCTAACGGGTCAAAAATTGCAACATATGGAGAAATATTAATGTCTTTGGATCTAGGATTGCGTCGCAAATTTCAATGGCCATTTGTCATCGCTGCGGTTTCGCACCCAATAATTGGTGCAGACTTTCTGCAAAAATTTTCTCTGTTGGTCGACATTAAAAATCGACGCTTACTCGACTCCATCACACAATTGTCCGCGGTAGGTAGCATTGGAAATGCCACTAATTTTGGAATTAAATTAATTTCCGGTAATTCTCCTTTCCACAAACTACTTGAGCAATACCCTAACGTCATCCGCTCAGTAACTGGCAAACCGACTGCTGACCACGGTATTGTACACGTCATAGAGACTACTGGACCACCAATCTTTGCCAAAGCACGGCGGTTGCCTCCAGAGAAATTAAAGGCTGCAAAAGAAGAATTTAAATACATGCTTGAGCAAGGAATCTGTCGGCCATCTAAAAGTTCATGGGCCAGTCCACTCCACATGGTCCCTAAGAAAAACGGCGACTGGCGTCCTTGTGGGGATTATCGACGTCTTAATTCAGTTACTTTGCCTGATAGATATCCGGTTCCTCATATTCAGGACTGCATGCAAGTCTTGGAAGGCAAAAAATATTTTTTCTACGTTAGATTTGACTCGTGCTTACCATCAGATCCCTGTCAATCCACCTGATATACCAAAAACTGCTGTAATAACACCTTTTGGATTATTCGAATTTCCTGTCATGACTTTCGGGTTATGTAACGCTGCGCAAACGTTTCAGCGCTTCATTAATGAAGTCCTTCGAGATTTAGATTTTTGTGTCCCATATTTCGATGACATTCTGGTAGCCTCGACAACTGAAAACCAGCACCTTGAACACCTTTGCATAGTCCTTGGCCGATTTCAGTCTTATGGTGTAGTCATTAATCCATCAAAATGTGTTTTCGGGAAATCTAAAGTGTCATTTCTTGGTCACGAAGTTTCTTCGGAGGGCGTTCGCCCACTTAGTGACAGAGTCACTGCAATTCAAAATTTCCCAGAGCCAAAAACTGTTCAGGAGCTGCGTCGTTTTCTGGCCATGTTAAATTTTTATCGTCGCTTTCTTCCTCATGCCGCTGAAAAGCAGGCACCTTTGCACACATATTTGGTTGGGAGTAAAAAGAAAGATACGCGGCCAATTATTTGGTCTGATGATGCCCGTACAGCCTTTGTACAATGTAAGAATGACTTAGCGTCGGCAACAGCTCTTAGCTATCCTTCTAAGCACCCTTTAGCATTAATGGTTGACGCGTCTAATACGGCCATGGGTGCGGTTTTGCAGCAACTGGTAGACGGAGCATGGAAGCCTCTGGCTTTCTTCTCGAAAAAATTTTCTGCAGCGCAATCAAAATACAGCACGTACGACCGCGAACTTCTTAGTGCGTATGAGGCTGTTAAACATTTTCGTCATATGGTAGAAGGTCGTGTGTGTTTTCTATCTATACCGACCACAAGCCGCTAATTTTCGCTTTTCGACAAAAGCCTGACAAGGCTTCTCCCAGGCAAATGCGTCATCTTGATTACATAGCGCAGTTTACAACCGATTTTAGGCATGTAGAAGGCCCTCAAAATACAGTTGCTGATGCTCTGTCCAGAATTGAAGAGGTTCAGTTGCCATCAACAACAGATTTCTCCGCCATTGCTGAATGCCAGAAACAGGACCCAGAATTGCAACATCTTTTGTCTGACAAGTCTTCTCATGGACTTAATTTAGTACCTATGCAGTTAGAACCAGATCTTTCACTGTACTGCGATGTGCAAGGTAATGTGGTGCGGCCATACATTCCACTGAAATTCCGGCATGGTATTTTTAGCGGCCTCCATAATTTATCCCATCCTGGCATCCGTGCTTCTCGCACGTTAATTCAACAGCGTTTTGTATGGCCTGGTATGCAGAAGGACATCGCTGCATGGGCGAGGTCATGTACAGACTGTCAAAAATCAAAAATTCACAGGCACACTCGAACTCCATGTCAACGCTTTGAGTTACCATCTGCTCGCTTTAGCCACGTACATATCGATTTGGTTGGACCCTTACCCCCATCACTAGGTTATACATATCTTCTTACGTGTGTCGACAGATACACACGTTGGCCAGAGGCTATCCCTATTGTAGATATGTCAGCCGACACTGTGGCAAAAAACCTTTTTTTCTGTATGGATTTCACGGTTTGGGGTACCCGAGTACGTTACCACGGACCAAGGACGGCAGTTCGAATCTCAATTATTTACTGCATTAACAAAATTCTTGGGAACTAAAAAGATCCGTACATCACCGTACCACCCGAATTCCAATGGACTTGTCGAGAGGTTCCATCGCTCTCTTAAACAGGCCATTAGATGCCATACTGCTATTCACTGGGTTGATGTCCTTCCTACTGTGTTGTTAGGACTCAGAACGGCTATCAAAGAGGACCTGGGTTCTTCAAGTGCTGAAATGGTTTATGGTACCAATTTACGTTTACCGGGAGATTTTATAAATCCCGCAAAAAACTCACCCAATGTCCAGCCCCATGCATTCCTCAAACAATTGCGTGAAACCATGGCTGCATTATACCCTAAGCCCACAAGCATACATTCTTCAAGACCTGTGTTTGTTGCCTAAAGAACTCGCTACATCCTCACATGTGTTCTTACGGTGTGATGCATCAAAAAAGTCCTTGGAGCCTACCTATACAGGCCCACACCTAGTTCTAAGTCGCACATCCAAGAACTATCGGATACTAATCGGCGACAAAGAGACAGTGGTGAGCCTTGATCGTCTCAAACCAGCCTTTATCTTAGCACCACAAACTGTCGAGACTGGTACATCAGTCCCACCTCCTTCGAAGGCACCTTCATCTATTGGGTCTACACCAACATCTGCTACTACGTCAGTTCCTGTGCCTGGATCCCAGAAAACAAGTGCTCCTCAGTATACACGTTCCGGACGTAGAGTCCGATTTAACCCTCGGTACCTTTAATTCGTTGCCACTGGAGGGGGAGTAGTGTGGCGACTCTGTAAACATGTGTTGTACTCGCCAACCGCGCGCCGTTATCACTAACTGTAACCGAAGGTGATTTCGGCGACACACAGTCACGTCTTGTCTGTCTGTCTTGTCGTCGGTGCGGTTGGTCGCTCGCTTTTCCTCCAACGTGATTGTCTGTCGACTGTAGTAATTAAGTTTTAATATTGTGATGTGATTAAATGTTTTTGTTATCAAAAATTGGCTCTTATGGCATGTTATGAATTCATCCTTAAAAGCACTGGCAAATTCCAATACGCATAGTTTGTTGTTGCACACAGCCGCAACCACGTGCAACACAACCATACATGAGTGTGTTCAAATGGGTACAGTGTTCAGGTCAAACTTCCTGACTGGTGGACCATTTAATGTGTATTAACATTTTCCTGCTATAAGGTTCACTAGGCTGTAAACTGAGGAGTTGTTAGTTCACCAGTTTCAAATGGAAGATTGATTGTATGAGAGTTTTGTGGTTTTTTCCATGTGTAACATGGAAGCGAGGAACTTATAAAACATATTTCACAAAGGCATTCTTCCTCTTAGGCAAACATCTGTTCAGTCTTTTGTTATAATCTAAATAATGCAGTGTTAATTTGTAAGTATAATTATGATCCAAACAGAACTATATTTAATAGTTTAAAAACTTAAAATTGTAATTTACGAAAAAGAATAGCCTTTTTTATAGACTGTACCTATTGCATTAATAGCAAAGTACAGAATAATTTCTTTAAAACACGAGGTATGATATTTCCCTTAAGAGTTTATACTCTATAAACACTAATGTAATAGTAATATTAAATACAGCAAAAGTTACTTAGCAGTACATAACAAATCTTTCCAAGTTTACTCTACGTTATGAACTATCAAACAGAAGTATTTACAGAGAAGATACTTCATGCATAGTGCAACAAATTTTGAAGAGACTGATTGCCTGTATGATGCAAACTGTTTTGTTATATTATATTATTTGAGGGTTACAGGCTAGCCAAAACTAGATCACAAAAGGAGATATAATCTGTTTGGTCATGTACAAAATTTGAAGAAATTTTTTATATACCAAAAGGCACGTTTTTTGCAGAATTTGTGATAGTTTACTATAAATTTTTAAAACCCTAGTCCGACCTTGGCACCAAATTAGCACCATTGCTGTAGAAGTACATGCCGACCATCTTTCAAAGTATATGCCAGTTACCTCATTGTGGTTGCGATGCATGTGTTTATTTGAACAGTTCTTATAAATGTTAAACATTATTCCTTATAAATATTCATTATTAAAATCATATTTTGTTCTCCACACTTTTATTTATTGAGTATTTAAATTTTGAAACAGTCATGGATTTATTTTCTGTTTTGTAGCTTTGAAAAATTAAAAAGAAACATAAGAAAATGTATTGTTACTGAAAATTCTGAAATAGTAAATTATATTATTGATTGGTTTGTTGATAATGTTGATTTGTCTATTAAGATATAATCTATGTCCTTTAAAACAATTCTTTTCCTTCATGCTTATATATTTTGAGCAATATACCATTGCAAGTATCTTACTTACTAATAATCTTTTTAACTAATGAAACTAATTCCATGTACGCATACCTAAGAATTAAAATAATAGTTTAATACTAAATCAAGTTCAATAACAGAAATATAGGTAGTAAAGATGAATGCTGAAAACAAAGAAAGTAAGTTGAATGGTTGATATATGTAGAAAAAAACGCATTCCTAGCACTGCTACCTATTATTTCCCAATTTGGCGGAATCTGCATTTAGTTTGTCTTTTGTAAAGAAGCAGCCTATACAATTAATATTCATTTTTTTGAATATTCAGAAATGCAGTGTTTCATAAAATTATAGCAGAGGCAACACTGCAGAACAAAAGTGTGTTAAGTGCCACATATAAAATCTGATATTTATTAATTTTTTTCAGTTTCACTTGTAATGCATGATAAAAGTACACAAACATTTTAAAAACATACTTATTGGAGAAAAAATGAGCATAAACTTTTTAATAGGAACATTGTGCAGAATTTTTTTTAACACATGTGAGCTCCTTGTTTGAAAAATATGATAATGATAGAAATAGTATTACAAGATATGTGCGTGAAATTTTGCTCATTTTATATTTTAATTGCATCATATAAAATTTTTACTCAGCTTGAAATAAAAAACTGTCATTTTTTTTTGTAATTTCTGATTTATGTATCTGTTAGATTTGCGAAGTCAGAGAATAGAAACTTTACTTTTTTTTTTAACTTTATTGAATTGGCAAGGAAATTATTTAAAATTACGTAAAAAAAATTGGAGCCTAGATTTCGGATAAAACTAAATTGATTTTGAAAGCGAGGAAACACAAATCACAGTTTGACTGGAGCAAAGAAATTCAGTTTCTAGTTGTGTTGATATAATTATCAACTCTTATATGAGAGTTGGATATTTATCCACAAATATGAATGGTGGCATGACAAATAACTGTTATTATGCAAGCATCATAAATCCAATAAAACACACAGACGTTTTAGTAGCAACTATATAAATTTTATTCACAAGTTTGCCCATGATGATGAATGATGTGACATGAGAAAAAAATAGCAAATATATGGAAATGATGTTGATTGGCATTTTCAAAAACTTAGAATATATTTTTAAGGTCTGGTTACAAAATAACAAATAACTGTGTATATATATATTTTTTATTCAAACACAGTTCCATTGTGAATTAAATTATTAATCTTATTGTGAGGTTACCATGATCCCAGTTTTATTCTGAATATTCTTTGAAAGAGAAATTTATAGACTAAATTTGCCTAGTTTTGCTAAGTTTAGCTTAATCAGTGAACTTGACAAAGCAATCGTATCATGTAAAAATAAGATTAAAAATATCTGATACTAGAATATCTTACTGAAGATTTTTTTTTACGTGCACTACATTTTCTATATAAGACCAATCTAAAAAATGATCACTATTTATTCTTTCGCTTTCTTATACGGAAAAACATAACCAAGCCATTCAGTTGTATAATGCTCGAAATCGTTCAAACATACATATTCATAGATATCCACAAAGACTTATTTCAGATTTCCCGAATCAAAGTTGCGAACCATGTTTACATCGAACGAAGTTGTTGATGCTGGGAGGAGCTTCGTTGTGACGTCGGCTTACGCATGAAGCGACGATCACGTGACCTCCCTGCGTTAGCGCTGACGAACTTATAGTGTAAGTTGGCCTTGCGCAGTGTACACTTTTATAATTTGAAAGATTGTAAGGACATCTAAAATTGAGAGTATCGAAATTTAATTCGAATGCCTGATGAAGATGAAATAAAAATATATAAGCTCTTTTTAAAAAAAATATTGTCTGTTTTATGGAAATCCTGTGCCATCTTCATGCCACGATACTTCAGGGAAAAGTTTTGTTTATGAAGTTGCTATTGGCAACTACGCAAAAATAAATTCTTGTTGACAGTTCTGTTTCGTGAAGTAATTTTGAATATTTAAAGATTGATCAAAATGGTGCTCTTTGCACATTAAAACATGTTTTAGGTATTTTTTCACATTATACTTTTCTGTTCGTATTCCAATCGCAGATACCTTAATATTTGATTTAATTTTGCTTCATTACATTTTTAATATTTTCAAAAATCTCTTGTTAGGATTCGGTTTCTTTTGGAAGAAAAACACATTGAAAATTTTGAGATTCAGCCATACAAACTGTGATAAATTTCATGTAATCGAATTATTTGTATTTAAGTTATAAAATCTGAAATTAATAAATTTTTACTTTTATTTATGAAGTTCTCAGTAGTTTGTGTTTATTTTATTGACATGAACCATATAAACAATTTTTGGTTTTAATATAAGATTATTAGAATATGTAACAGCAATTTTGTCAATTAGAACAAGACATTATTCTGTATACGGATGGTACTTAAGTTAGTCAAAGTATAATTGTGTTAATAAGTCATGTGCTTTGTAAATATTTATTAAAAATAGGAAAGAACTATCTAATTTTGTTTTATAATTTACACCATATTCTTTTTAGTTTAGCTGATTTCAATGAGGAAGAAATCTATATGTTATGGATTATATAATCATACTCTAAAATATTTTAATAATTATTTTTTATACATTAACGATTATGAATTTTTTGGTTTAGCATTTATTTCTATTATTATTTATTAAATTTAGGTTTATTTTAATTAAGATTATGGGTAGGTGCAGAATCGCCCACTTATTTGTTTGGCGCTTTTTGCAAGAGTAAGAAGAATTGGATTTTTGTCAATTTTCTTTGACTTTTTAAGTGAAAATAGATTGATGCGTTCATGGATAAAGTAAGGGAGTGTGCAATGCCATTTTCTTGCAATTCTGGGATGCTTTTCTTAAGTGAAAATAGGTCGTTGTGTACATGGATAACGAGTATGTGCAATTCTTAAAAATGCACCAAGCAGTGGGGTATTCTGCACTTTCCCCGTTATTATTAAAGTTTCAAAAATAGCTGTTATTTATTTTTCTAATTTATATAAGTAATAGAAACGGGCTTTATATTCAGAAAATTATTGAGTTTTATATTTTTCTGCTAAATATTAACAGGTTTGCTGCAATTTCAATATGCGTACAACTGTTTCTCAAAAGGTTTTTCTCAAGGAGACTTTTGTTTGTCGTCTGCTCTGGCTGATTTGTAAAGACTGTACTACTTGTGTGTAGTATTTCAGCTGTTAATATTTAGTGTGACAAATTTTTTCCAGTTTAAACCTCTTCATCAGCATTCAAAACATCTTTAAATTTGTGCTCATTTTAAAGTCATACCTTTTTTCAGTGATTACATAAAACATTATTTTTCCATTATGCACTTGCCATGCTTTTCAGTGTCTGTGAAAAAGAAGCCAGACTCATGCCAAGACCACATAATTTTAACCTGGAATATATATGTTCCCATCTATAAAATAGTCTCTTATCTAAAACTAGCTTACAATTAAAAGCACAGTATTTGGCTGCTCTTTTATAGGCATCAAAATGCGTGGCAGGTGCATAATGGAAAATTATCCAAATTGGATGATGTTTAACTTTTCAACTTTCTTCAAAAGAAAATTTTGTTTGGATTACTTCAGTTCAATGGGAAAGATATACATTATTTAAGAAAATCTTATTATGGAAGTGCAATGTTCAAAGGGGCAATTTGATTGTAGGGATGGAAATAAGAATTTGATTTGAAAAAAACTGGATTCCATGTGCAATAGCAGTATAATTTATGGTACTTCTGGAAAATCCCTTGGACCACAGAAGGCAGCACCAATCGTGCCAAACCAAAAAAACCAATTTACTAAATACAAGAAAAAATGTTCTATTCTTATTTTTCTTTCAAATTTATTATATTATCATTTATTTAATTTTTCATTAAAAATTTCTATTATTTTTGATTAATGAGATATACTGTAAAAGCAATTATTTTCGCCAGAAAATACAAGTCTAATATTCAAGAGCACTCTTCTGTAGTAGGCAGGTCCCAAATTTTAATCATTTTTTTTTCCAAAAATGCATGTTTGAGGGAGAAAAAGGAGTCTTTGCTCAAGAATAATAACACATGTAATCAAGGTTACATCAAACCCAGCGTGTTTGAAGAAGACTTTTACATTTTTTTTCAAAAAATCGTGTAGTTTGGTGCCTTTTCTTTAATAGGCAGAAATAGTCGATGGGATTTTCCGTAAGTACATAATTTATTTACTGTCAGCCAGATTGTCATTTTAGTTACAGATTAGATTTAAGGGTGCCACTTGGATTATCGCTAAGTTGCTGTTTCATTTATCGCCAAGTTATTTCATTTATGGTAACCTGAGTAGTTGAATGCTATGAAAACTCTATTACGACATAATTGGTTGCATGATTGTGGTGAATTTGAATGATGGAATGGATTTTAGATAAGAAGTACGTATTTTGTGGTTTACATGGTAAAATGGCTGAATGTTGTAAGGTTAATTTGAAGTTTCTGTACGATTTGGAACAAAACGGAAAAAAGCATTAATTGACTGGTGTGTAAATGAAGTTTACTTAGTTGCCATAAGAAGTGTCCTATTTGTAGGAAGGAAATGCATATGGTCGAACTTTCAGAGGATACCTGCACTACGAAATATATTTTTAATTCTTATTTTTGTGAATTTATGTGGCGATGCATATCAGATACAGTATACATATTCTAGTTCAGATAATTTTAGGAAATTTTTGGATGCTGTTAAGGAACTTTGTTTGACTGAAGACGGGAATTTGTAAATAAGGTTAGTGGATATTTCCTTTGTGTAGTGCTAAGATGAATTTCCTTTTTTATGTTATTTTATTGTTTGATTTAAAATGTAGTTTATTGAGATTACATATTTTTTGTTGGCTGCTCCTTTGACTTTTTAAGTGAATATAGATCGATGTGTTGGACAAAGTGTGCACACATGGACAAAGTGTGCATTAATATGCCTAGTTTGTGTAATTATCTGATTTTTTTAAAAGTGAAAATAGGTCGATTTGTACATGGATACCAAGTCTGTGCAATTCTTTGACATGTTATTTTGGATTTGTGTAGCGGGGATTTTTGTGGTGGTACATGGACGCCGAGTTTGCGCAATTCTTTGACTTGTTACTTTGGCTTTGTGTAGCGGTAATTTTTACGCCAAAAATTACCGCTACACAAAGCCAAAGTAACAAGTCAAAGAATTGCGCAAACTCGGCATCCATGTACCACCAATTATTGCTGAGAGCCACCCGTAAATATATTTTTACTTAGTTATCTATGTAACAGTTGAAGTAACCAATTTTCATATGGCTTAGAAAGTTATACAGACTCCTTTCAGACTTCTGGTTTTGAGGAATTCGACTGGAAGTATAATTTGTTAGAATAATTTAAGAAATTGTAAACAATTTTCTAGTTTTAATATTACTGATTTGTGTAGAATATAAAATTACATGTTTAGTTAATTATTTTCTAAATTTATTTATTTTTAAATTAATGTACTGCATTTTAATCTTTATTCTGTCAGGAACTTTTCCTTCCTACGGCTATTTCAAAACATATGCCATGTTCAAATTTAAAGGAGGTAAGCCTCAGCAGTCAAGTACAGAACTTGCTAAATCTGTTGAAGATTTTTTTACTTTTTCTAAAGTAAGTATTATTGTTTGTAGTTTACTAGCTAAAGGATAAATAATGAAAATCCTAATAGTTATCAGTGTTATTCAGAATAAGCAGATTGCATAAGGATTTTGTAATTTGCGTATGCTATATTTTAAGATGCACTCAACATAACCTTTTGTGTATCTGTTCCATTTTATATTTTGAAGAAGTATTATTGCCTTTATATATTTATTGCCTTATCATCAGCAATAAATATTTAAAAAACAGTTTAATCCACATTGAAACAGGTAGCTTCTTTCTTCCTAGAGCCTTCTTCATTAAAGAATTGGACTTTCATGTCTGTTTCAGTTGCTTTATCTTTGCTCTTCATTTGAACATTTGATGCTTGTCAAAGAAGATTTGTTTTTTTCCCGTTATCAACACTCCCACTGAAAAGTCATGAATTCATTTCTGACTTTGGAAAGCATTCACAAACTTGCTCGTGACTAATTCTTCACTAAGCTAATGCACAAAAGCCAAAAATGTTTTCAAAATGGCACCGCATTAAGAATTCAGTACAAGAGCAAACAAATAATAAAATAATTAAAAAGAAACATTGGTAATAAAGTACTTACTTTTTTTGTTTTTTGTTTTTGAGAAATCCTCTCTCTTTTTCTCTTTCCCCCCATATACAGAGTGGTCTGTTCTAAAAAAACACGAGATCATGCATGAATTTGGCATTAATACAGCTTAAATTTGTATGTAAGTAAAATATCAGTTTAGGAAAAAGGTTCTGATTTTAAGAGCTGAACATTTTTATTTAGCTTATTAAAAAAGTGTTAACCAGTACAAGTTTTTCAAAATGGAGATCTTCACAGAATTTTACACAATTCATATTCTAGAACATGCTGGGAGGCTTCATTATTGGCATGTAGCCAACTTCATAATATTCTTTGCATTAATTAAAAATGAAAAATATTTATAGTTTAATGTTTTTTTGTACAGTTATCAGATTATGATTCTAAAGTAATAGAACTTCATGGGAATATTAATAATTACTTTTATCTAATTGAAAACTTTTGCATTACTTTTGTGAATCTTCGTTTGGCATACAAATATAACAAAATTGTAAATTAACCACTTGCGCTAAAAAGACGTGCCACGCACGTCGAGATGCTTTTGTCTCTAACCGAGCGCAAAAATGAAAATGTGGTGAACACGTCGCAACGAGATTGTTTATTTCTTGATTTACAGCTTTGGATTGCACTGGTGCCACTGGTGGTCACTGGTGGTCACAGACGCGGAGCGGCGTAAATGAGATGCTTTACCGCTTGTTATATTGTAGTGCATGGCACCGCAACCCGGAAGTTTAGTTGTAGCGCAAGTGGTTAAAAGACACTAGTAAATCATGAAAAAATATCATTGAGTGGCATATAAGCTGAAAAATCAACCTGTATTTATTAACTAACCCAATATCATATCAAAATTTGCAATTTTGAAATTAAATATCTTGGTCAGTTTTGGCCATATGGGAGTAAGTCTTTTTGTTGTATTTTTAACAATTATTAAAAAATTTGGTTCTCTTCTGTAATCAGGAGGGGACCGGATTCAAGAATTTATGTATTGTGTATGTACATACACATATATATGTACATAGATACATAAATGCACATATGCATATGTACATATATATATGCATGCATAGATATATTTTGAATCTGGTTCCAGTAATAGAAAAAAACCAAAAAATTATTTAAATATAAGGACTGTTAGATTATAAAAAAAGTTAGATTTTATATTTAGTAAGAAACTGATGTCTTTAAATTATAAAAATGCCAAAGCGTGAATATTTGCATTATTTAAAACATTTTTGTATCTAGAAGTATATGTCCATGCTGACTGGTTGCAAAAGCAAAGGCTAGGTAAGGACTTTTGTGGATGCGGTGTGTATAATTTTGTGGATGCGGTGTGTATAATATATATATTTGCTTGCATTCAAAATGAACAGGGCAAACTAAGTAGCCATGGGTTATCATAAGGTGATAGCAGAAAATGTGTAATAGATTCATTCTTGAGCTACTTTCCGTCAAAATAAGAATGAAGCTTAGACAGACAGCACTCTTGTTTTATCTAAATTAAAATAATTAATCCAGTCTTATTCTGTAATGAACTGTTACTGTAATTTAAAAGTCAATCAACAGTGTAATATAACTGTAAGTCAAACAATACTGTTACTGTAATATAAAAAAGTAGAATTTAAGTTTCATTATTGTCATCCTTTTTTTTAGAGGATTGTTTGACTTAACACCTTAACTGCAATGTGACCCACAAGTGGGTCATGATAGATTTGTGTTTAAAGCCTTGTGATCCACTTGTGGGTCACAACAACATTCATGTTTAATGGCTGCATGTACCACTGGTGGGTCAACTTTTCTGCAGTTTTTGCATGGGAATATAAATTTTGACATTCTTCTTTTATCAGGACAGATTCAGAAATGTATGTATGGATATATTATAATTTATTTTTTTTATTATTTTATATATATTGTATTATAATTTAGTTTTTCCTTATTTTATCATTATAGCTCCTTTTTCAGTAGGCAGCTGTGTAAGCTTGTGCAAAGAATATGTGTCTACATTCTTATTGAATAATATGCGACAGAAAGTTATTTCAGTTATGTTGATTTTAAGATTTAAGTTGACAAAGATTTATTCTGGAAATGTTCAGTATGGTGGAAAAATATAATATTATGTTAATTATTCTCACATATTTTGGTTTATATGTTGCAGATGAATAGAAAATGATTGATTGACTTGATTTACTTAAATTAAAATCAAAATTATTCAGTTTTATTTGGTTAAGGATAACTATGGTACTGTATTTAATTCTTTTTGTTTCAATTATTTTTGTTTCTTTTTCAGATTGCTACTTTAGGATTTCCTTACAAACCAACAGCATTAGCATGGGATTCTTGTCTATGTTTGATGGCAATTGGAACCCAGCATGGCAATATTCGAATGTATCCTTTGTTAGCTGTAGTTTTTACTATATTTTAATAAATGTTGTGCATTAAATTCATGTCAGTAATATTAAATTACATACACAATATTTTGAAAAGATAGCCATGGGCTTAATTTTCTGGAACATACATTTAAGACATGGTCTTTCAGTTACACAGTTTCTCAAACTAAGAGGCAGAATTTTCTTGAAACATTCTCAACATATGGGTGAGAAAGATTCTATAAAAATAACATCTAATTTCATTGTAGAATAAAAATTTTAATAAGAGGCTATTTATGTATTTAAAATTTTTATATTAACTGCAACAAATTATTTGAGTTTAAATACAAAAATTTCACATCTTAATGGGCGTATTGAAAGGTAAATATACTATTTCTGTAGTTCATTTTCTGTAGCATTTTTAAAATTAAACTTCAGATTTTTAAGAATAAATTTAGGGAGCAGCTGCAGGAGAAATATTGCTCATTTTGTGGTTAAGAGATTTGTGTTGCAAAAAGAGCTTTATTGCATTTGTAGGTATTCCTTGTATTTTTCCTGCAAATCTTTGTAAAGTCCATTTTAACATTTAAATGTACAACTGCAAATTTTGCATTCATGAAGAATGAGACATTTTATACTTAAATAAAACTCCATAATTATTTTAATAATTGAACATTTCACCTTCTGCAAAAATCCTATGAAAAAGATTTTTTTTTTAAAATTTATTTATTGAAATGATGTTTCTGTGTGTGCATTTAGATTTTACAAGTTTAATTACACTAATTAAAAAGTTGTTATTTGTCTTGTTTTAGGGATTCACTATGAGTGTTTTGGTACATTCAGATGTCATACAACAGATCACAATATAAAAATATGACCAGAGACCTAATAGTGGAATAGCCATTCTCTCCCTAGAGGACTGACCAGATGGCATGGCGTGGTCTCAGTGTAGTGTTGAAAAGTAGAAATATATGATGAAAAATTATGGTCATTAAACTTTATTGGAAATTAACAGAACACATTTTCATTAATTGACCGATGCAAAAGTATTACATAAATTATTTTATAAATGCTTGTTAAAAACTGTTTGTTGTATGTTGAATTTTGTAAGTTTCAAAATGTAATTGCTTTGAAATATTGTTCATGCTTAACACTGTATAGATATGGAGCACCTGGTGTACAGTTCTGCGGAAATTTGAGGCAGAAGTTGTCTATAGTAGAGTTATTATTTATACCTAGAAAGGTGGCTTTGGATTTTTATTGTTTCTCTCTTTTTTTATGTCTTTAAGAAACAAATGAGTTAGAACTGTTCATTGATATGAAATTATTTCATAAAATGAACATAAATGTTTGTATATTTTCTGGCATTCTAAAGTTTTATGTAATTGATTAGAAGCACTCTTGTGTAACTCGTTTGGTGTTATTTACATGTACTGGACCCCTCCCTCCCCCCAAAAAAAAATGTGAGAGATGATGCATATGCAAATCTCATGCACAAAATACTCTGAAAAAAAAGCCATGCTTAAAAAAAAAAAAAAAAAAAAAAAAATATATATATATATAATATATCTGAATCTGCTTATTGTATTAATAAATTTAACATGTGAAAAAGCCAAAATTAAGTTGAAATAAAAATAAAAATAAAACTACAATTAAAATTATAAGTATTTCAATTCTTCCATAGTTTTATTATGTTAGTAACATCTTATAAAAATGTCTTTAAACATATTTTTGTGAGCTATAATTTCATAGCTGTCTCTTTAAATAGTACCTCCAAATGAGTAAGAAGAGACTAATAGTTTAATATAAATAACACACATATAATAACAGTAAATAGTTTAATATAATAACAGTAAATAGCTCAAATAGAATTTCCAGGTATTAGCAGATTCTGCTGCTTCTGAGAAATATAAATTCTCAAATCACTACAATCCTAAACGCAATTCTACTAACTTTCTTTAAAATGCAAGGTCTTACAAATGATTAAGAGCTGACTTGTTGCAGCTCTCTTAGTTGTATTTATATGGCATAGTATGAGCTTTCTGAAGCTTCAGGAAAAGTAAATTGTAGGCAAGAAATTGTCAAATACTGCCAAGTCCCCTATGGATTCTATTTGTTCATATCTTGTGTTCCACTTGAGCTATTTTTATAATTTGAACATTTTTAGACTCAATTGAAAAAATTCTACAATTCTATTTAAGAACTAAATACTTGTATATAAAATATCTAGCTACAAATATTTACAGGAATTTAGAACAGTGTGTTTACAAAAATTTGCAATATATACATTGCATTATACTTATGCAATATATACTTAGGAATTAATTCCCCTGGCATTTTAGGGATTAATTGCCTATTTCCTAGCCATATGATTTGCTAAGTGTACAGTAGTACCCATGAAGTACAAACTTAATATCGCTTGACGTTTACCTGTGAGATTTAGTCTTGTTTTATGGTAAGAAGATTATTCTTCCTCATGCTCTGGCAAAAAGCCATTTTTCAGAACATTAGCATTCACTGATCTTAAAAGGTCTTTAATGTTATCTTTCAAATTATGATGGCAACCAAATTGGCTAATTTGGAACCGTCAAATTCACTTCTGAATAACTTAAATCTCTGTTTCATTTTTTTAATTATATGTTTAAATAGCATAATGAAAATGCATTTAATTTGTTCTGTATCCACCCACCTGATAATTATGAATACTAGGAGCATTACTGTAATTACTTAAAAGACCATGTATTGTGCCTTAGACAAAAATTGTGTAACTAAATTCCAGTTTCCTGATATTTTGATTAAATAATACATGAGCTTCCAGTGTGTAAAGGCTTTTTTATACTGATCTTGTTCAGAGAATTTTTTTAAAAACTTGTCTCTTTTAAAACTTGTCCCTTTGGTCAGATAAACGAAGGACTGTGTGCCAGCAATCTCGTGAAATAAATATACACCTAAATCTCTACATGTGGATGATTTATAATGAAACAGCTTTGTGATAAGTTTAGCATTGTTATTTTTAACAATTCATTTTAAATATGTGATATGTTTTCTGCCATGGATTCCTGGAAGAATTGTATTTATATACTAGTATTTATACTAGTGAGCTGATAATAACTCTTTAGCTTATTATTTTATTGTTAAACTGGAATCAGCATATGAAAATTAGATTGAATTTTTTAGAGTATAAAATTTTTGTGTTTTTTAAATTAAAAAAAAATTATTTTAGCTCCTTGAAATTTTAATGTTTAACTTTAAAATGTTAGTCTTTAATCTGAAAAAAATATTTTAGCTCCTTGAAATTTTAATGTTTAACTTTAAAATGTTAGTCTTTAATCTGAAATTTTCAAATTGCAGTTTGATTTTGTATTCTTTTTAAGCTTATATTCTTTAAGAATACTAGATAATTAAAGAAAGTAACAAGAAGGAAAAATGCATTAAATAGCCACAAATCTCATGACCGGATAGCTTATGCATTTGTGCTACTCAGGGCTATAAAATGTTAGTCTAGTAGCCTTGCAGAAAGAGAGTCTAAATAAAAGTCTAATAAATAAATATATCACATACTGAATTTATCTTTTTTGGTGTAATGTTAGAACACAAGAATTTTCGGTTTTATAAATTTCAGATTAGAGATACTTAAACTGTGTACTATATTATTTTTACTTGCATCTATATTGTATTTTTGTGGGATTAGGCTCGTCTTATTTGCTTGTGTTCTGACAATAGTCTTCATTTATGGGAACTTAATGAGCAAAATGGACTGTGGAAGTTAGAAGAAGTAAAGTCTTTTGTCCTCACTGGCTTGTAAGTTATTTTAGTTTTAAAATATAGGGTGTCCCATAAGTCTGTCAAAACATTTTTGATTATTTGTTTTCAGAATGATGTTTATGTCTATGAGTGAGTGCATTGTGGTGCATAATTTTGATACCATCGGGTTTTTGCCTTTGGAATCATTAATTGTCTTTATGTGCTTCCAAGGAGATGCCTAGTCTGCATCAATTAGAAGAAGGATTTGTCTGCATCATAAAAAAAAAAAAAAAAAAAAAAAAAAAAAAAAAAAAAAAAAAAATTGCTGCCTTGAGGGATATTAGCCAGTCAATAAAAGGGCACTGAGAGGTGAAAAAACACCAAATCTGGGGCTTCTTTTATTTTTGATGTTGCATAAAAGTTTGAAATTATTAATATGTAGTATTTGGAGAAAAGATCCATCTGTATCCTTAGGATTAATCAGCAATTTTTAGGCTACTGTTTGAGTTGCTGTGGAAGCACTGTATAGCTCCTTAAAGCCTAGATCTAGCACGATTATTTGTATTTGTGTTTGCATTTGTTTTGATGTAGTCTGAAAAGATACCTGTTCTACTGACCTCTCGATCTGTGAGATTACAAGTCTTATGTTATGCCAGAAATATCATTATTCTGCAGCACCTGGAAGGAAGGATTATTCTAACATTACAAGGATTTATCATTTGGTTCCAGGATATATATTGTTTTATACTAACTCAAAAAAAAAAAAAAAAAAGGTTAGTTCTATAGCTCCCATTCAACTGGGCCGATTGATGTCCCAGAAGTACAACTTAGAAAATATATATTAGATTTATATATAGCATTATTCTAACATAGGTATTTTGGCACAAAATTGGACTTTTTCTGAAATGACATACTGATGTTTTTCCATATTTTAGATACTATGCTTTAAATTATGTCAAATTAGCAAGTTCTCTAAATTACACAGATAGTTTTTAAAAAATTGCTCTTAAAATTTCAACTGCTCAATGTTAATAGAATTTGGGATATATTTATTAATGTCTCAATTTTTTTGTTTTTGTTTTTTTTTGTTTCCTTGTACGAAGTAATCACAGAAAATTTCAGGAATCGTTTTTCAACTGCTCTCTAAACCATCTGAAAGATGCTTTTCTGTGACATCTGTACCTCTGGGCAGAATAAAGACCTGTTCTTGGGGAAAAAAAAAAAAAAAAAAAAGATTGTAAAAGGGTGGTGGTGATTTATGGCACAAAGCTCTAAAGGCCATATGCGCCAAACACAGGATTTTTTGTATATATGCTAGATGGAGAAAAAGGTTTAAAAACAGCAGCACACTTATAAAATCAAGGCAAGTAGTAAGATAATGAAATGGTGGGATGAAATTCTGATTAAGATTCAGATAAATGATGTATGCAGTATGGATTTAAAATCATACACATCTGATTCATTAAAATATATAACATTAAAATTCTAACATAAAATCTCAAGGTAAAATCAAATTAAATAATAGAGACCTGTTTCTTTCAGATACTGAAACAAATTGGTATTGACCTCTCTTCCGATTAAACGGTCGAGAGGCAGGTCACAGCTATTAAAAATACTTCTGAATAAGACTATTAAAATATTGACACTCAATTAAAATGTGATGGCCTGACAGACAAACAGTACAATTTGGACAAACAGGCTCATTCTCAGCTTTTAGTAGGTTGCTATGTGTTGCTCTAGTGTGACCTATTCTAAGCCAAGTTAAAAGAACTTCCTCCTTACAATTTTAATACAATCCCAAAGCTCTAATTTAAGCTTCATCGTTCTTAACTTGTTACAAGATTGAAAGTCCCAAAATTGCTGCCAGTTTTTTAAGATCCTTTGTTTGATGACATAACTGATATCTCTCAAAGGGATGAGGTGACCAGACAGTTCAACAGCAGATTTCGCTGTGCTGTCTGCCAAATCATTACCTTTTGTTCCTGTATGTTCGGGAACCCAGCGGTACAGAATTTCATATCCATAACTTGTTAATTTAATATTCAACTTGACTACATCCACTATCCACAATTCTCAGTGCTGGAAAAAGATTCTAAAGCTTTCAATGCACTGTAGGAGTCTGTATATATAATGGATTTTCTATGGCGTAGCGTTGAGATTAAAAAAGCGCATAATATATGGCAGTCAATTCGGAGATTAAGACCGAGGAAGTGTCATGTAAACGTCTGCCCTCCATGTGATCACCAATTATAAATGACATCCCAACATGACAAGTTAACTTAGATCTATCCATATACAGTGAAAAGTCTTTAATCTGGACGTCCATAATCAGTGTGTTTACGCATGTGCATAATACCTTTATGCATGCATATAATACCTTTACGCATGCGCATATGCGTTTACGCATGCGCATTTAATGTATAACAGATGATATAAGCTAAGCTAAAATTATCTAATTATCTATTTCAGTTAATGTTGCAGATTACATTGTTCCTTAATCTTCTAATTGGATCCGGCTTATTATTTTTTGCAGACTGTTAGAGCAATTTTATAAAAGTAAGCTTGAACTTTCGATTATGTCAAAAAGAATTTCCGTTTCTGGAGCTGCCAAAGGATCTTCAAAGCGAAAGCATGTTTCGATGTCCATCAAACAAAAAGTGGAATTGCTGCAAAAAATGGGTAAAGGCATATCCTTTGTTTCTCTAACCATTCTGAAATCTGTTTTTCAATTTCACGCTGCTCTGCGGGGGGGGGGGGATGTCGCGGCACACAATGAACTGGAAGTATTTTTACCTTTTACTTTTTACTATCTAAGATAGGTCTTGTTTTTTTGTATTTGTTTTTAATTGTTTACTCATTTTGAATTTCAGTTTTCATAATTAAACAGCTGAAATAGGTCGGGAAAAGAGGCAATTCATTGAGACTATAAATTCTTCTAATTACATTAGATGGTTTAATTGTATTTTTCTGTGCTTAGCCTAGTGAATTAGTTGGAACGAAACTTGTTTTAGTTTGTCTAGTTGATGAACATTGTTTGGAGCTTCAAAACACTTTTCCCTGGACAAGTTCTGTTTTGAAGCTCTGAACAAAAGATATAAACAGTGGTGTTCAGTGGTGTTTGTGCTCCGGGGAAACCCCGGAATTCCGGGGATTTTGAACTTTGATCCCCGGAATTCCGGGGATCGTCGTTCAAAAGGAAGTAGGAATAATAATGAATTATTTATTTTGATCTGGGTAATTTTGTTTGCTTTGAAAGCAGAAAACACAAGGTCAGTGTGTGTGGTGAAAACTTTTCCTTTCTTTCTCCAAAAGGCAGTGATAATGCGTGAAAAGGGGGAAAAACTTCTTTTTTTGTTCTTTCCTTATTGCGAGTTATGACTCATTCCCCCGGTTCTCGGACATTCTCTTCTGGATTCTTTTCGGCAAGTAGGCGCGGCAGAAAAAAAAGGGAGAGACTTCGTTCGACCAGATGTGCGATCATGTGACTCTGCTTTCAAAGGTCTTATCTCTCCTGGCATGGTGCCAATAAGTAGAGAAGGGGGATTTTTCGCCGTATTAGCTACTTGTCATTGATCGCTTCTCAACTTTTTTTCCTCCGCTGTGTAAAATTTTCATTTCATTTATTGATGCACGTGTAAATTTTTCGTTTCGTTTATTGAAATATTTTTTTATTTACGTACGCAAAAGAATTTCACTATGAAATTTCTCGATATAAATAGTGATATTATACAATTAGAAGAAGGTGTCCGGAATGCATTTAGGTGGAATTGGATTGAACGGAGAGATGGTAATGGGGATACCATCGGCACATGGTGCAAGAAAATAAATGTTGCTGGACAAGCATATTGTGTTTTTTGTAACTCACTGCTGAAGTATGGTGGGGAAGGATTCAAGGCTTTCACAAATCATTCTAAAACTGTGACGCACATAAAATATTCAAAGTGCATTAGACATTCAATGACTTTAAGTAATTATGCTAATTCAAAAAATACTGATGACTTACTGGAGACTGATGCTCGGCCATTGGATATAGTGACAAGAAAAGCACGCCAAGAGGTATTAATAACTTCGTTTATCGCCGAGAATTCTCTTTCTTTCAATGTAGCTCCCAATTTAATTGAACTCTGCAAACAGTTGAGCCGCGATCAGACGGCACTAAACTCGTTGGAAATGTCCAGGACTACTGCATGTTATAAGATGAAAATATGGGCTCGCAAAAACTCGCAAAAACTATCATTAAAACTTTAAAGGAGACTCCATTTTCTCTAAATTTGGATGAAAGTACTAGCAATGCTCAAGAAAGTATACTGGCAATATTGGTGCAGTTTTATGACAACAATCAAAATGAAGCTGTAGTTCATCATTTTGCAACTCTAAAGATGGAATCTTGCAATTCAGAAGCTGTTTTTAAAGCAGTTGTTAATACTATTGCAGATAATAATATTCCATGGGCAAACTTAATTAGTGTATTAATGGACTCATGTAACACCATGCGTTTAAAAAAAAAATGGTGTTGAAACCAGACTACGATAAAACAAAGCACCCTACTTATTAGATATTGATGGTGATACGTGTCACACAGCTAATAACTGTGCAAAAAAATTTGCTTCATGTTTTGATAGATACTTAGAAGATTTGTTTGATGACATCTATTTTGATATGAAAAGCTGCAGTAAAAGAGAAAATTTTTTCAAAATCTGTGAATCCCTTGCCATTAAAAAACTTAAGCCCTTGAAGAGACCAGACCATAGGTGGGTGTACATTTTACATTTTATGTGTTTTAGAAAGAATCAAAGATCTGTGGGATGCTCTTATTGCATTTTATTTTCACTACTTGGATAAAACTGATAAAGGGGATTATTTTTTTTTTTTTTATGTTGAAACTGTATACAATAAAAGAAATATTTCTGCAGCTCAGAAAAAAATTGTTGAAGGGGTGTATTCTTGCTTGCATTCCCAACAACTCACAAAGGATGCTTTAGCTCGGAAAAAAAGAATACTAAATGGGTTATTTGTTATGCAAAACAAAACTTTATTGCATATGGCATTATATTCAGCAGTATTACCAGAGTTCAACACATATATTAAATTATTTGAAACAAAAAAAAAAAAAAAAAAAAAAATGCTTCATTTAATACATTCCAGTATTTATAAATTGATGGCAAAATTTTTCTCTTTTTTTATGAAGCCAGAAAATATAGAGTGCACATCTTATAATGATTTATTAAAGGTTGATGTCACAAATCCAGAATTCCATCTACCTAGCAAAGTAAT